GAGGTCGACACCGGAGCCTTTTGCTCCTTTTGTTAACTTTGTGGCGCTGCCGCGCGGTGTGGGAATCGCTCCCCCTCCTCCCCCCCGCTTCTACACCCAGACTTCATTGGAATGCAGCCCGTATAGTCTCGTTCCCCCACCCACACTTTGTTTGGTTGCGTGAGTGTAACTTAAACTAGTAATAGGACGCCGCCTATGGAAACATTTTAAACACATTGATGGGCGCGCATCCGCACCCCGATTGGTATATTTAAATAGAGGAATGTTTGTAAAAGCTAAAGGTTGATAGGACTCAAAATAGGAGGAGCGCTAGCTGCTAAACCATGTTTCATAAAAAGTCTATTTTCGGCGCGGCTCGGACAGGCGGGGTTGAATTGCACGGGGGAACGGCGCCCCCTTTGGCTGATCGATTTAGAAGCGATAAGGTTGCCAAAGGCGCACCTTTAGAGGAGCATATAAAGCCAAATTCGATTTTCACCTTTTTCTAATGTGTAATTGCCTTGATTCGAATCTTATTTCTGCCAAAAAGATAATTAACACCGGCGCTTGAGAATGTTTCCGCCTGGCCTTGGCCAGCCCATGGCCCATTGGCCCGCCCCCCCAAAAGGGCCAGGCCCATAACAAACTAGAAATTATAGTGTTTTATTTTAAAATAGAATTACAGATCGGCCTTGATTTGGCTACGAAAGCAGTTGTAGCCCACACGGATCCTTGCATGGTAGCATGTGCGGTTGGGCGGATTAGCTTGTAGAGCCTCTCGGGTAATTTTCCACAAAAATGAAAAATATAGGGAAATGGTATTAATGATACGTGCCAGTGCTTCTGTTTGAAAGAATATAGCTGTGATTCTGATGAAATTCTCTAAAGGCGTTTCTGCATGCCTGCTTTGTAGCCAGCATTAAACTTTAGGAAATTTGTTAAATAACTAGGCGCCCTGGAAGGCTGCGAAAAGAATAAGACGTGCCTTAAAAATGATGAGTGTCTAAAGGTATGTTGTGCTGTAAGTCTTCTACAAGAACAGTTCTGCAAGAAGAAAATGAAAATTGAGGTGATTGGAGGGCATAAGGGGCGGGGGGATAGAGCAACCAGGGAAATAAATATACCGGCGGTGGTCCTTTAGTATGCTCTCAAGGCATGCCCTGCCCAAGTCTAGTATGGTGAATGCATTGGATGACTTCTAGATAGCCCAAATGAAATTTGGAACTGTTCTACTCGTCGATGATTCGAATTTTTTGTAAGATTTTATTAAATGACTAGGCGGAACGCACTATTACCTGCTGTGGTGGCCTCTTCTCGATGGGAATTGGTGTGCTGGCGGGGGCGCCGAAAACGTGAAATTCACCTTACTTTGTGCACAATGTATGCTTAGCATATTTAAATCCATACATTTCATAGTATATGCAATATAATGATGAACATGTAACTGGCAAATATGTACAATTTGCATTAAAGTCCCTATTTCGCATGCGCTTTCGCCACGGGGCGGGGGGGCCGGGCAATGTTTCTCGCGGCTGCCCATGGTCTGGCCCAACGCACATCTCCTCGCATATCATCTACGCACAAAAAAAAAACGGTTATCGCTTCATTCATGATGATTTATAGTTAGGCACCTTAATCTGCGTCAGCGCATAATATTTTTTTAGAACCATTTGATTCCTCCCCCCCCCCCCCTTCACTGAAGTGCCTGCCCCTTGTTCAACTCATGGGGTCTTTCTCTAACATCCACGATGAATGCAATTGCTGCCATTTCTAGCTGCAGAGATCCAAACGAATTATATAAGTGATAACGGGGGCAGCAAACCTAACTGAAAGTTTATTTGGAGTCAATGTAATTTTGACATCTGAAGCCACATACAAAGCAACAAAAGCCTTCCAAATTGATCAAGTCTTCTACTGCTTCGAGAAACTTGGCATCTGAGAGGAAAGTTAGAATCATGAACAAAACGACCCACGGGATGAGAGTAGACGGCGTTTAAGAGCATTTTATTTCAGTCATGCAAAGGTTTTTGAGGTCCTGCTTGGCGTCCCATATGGCATCAACTCTTAACATGCTTTCGTTATTTTTTTGTTTTTGCGCACCCAAAGGTTGAGAAATTAGCGCGTATCTAGTTTCAAAAGAAATCGAAGCTGTTCCTCGAAAAGCGTCATGAACTTTTGATTGTTTGCCTAATTCATGTAAAGAAATGGACAACAAGTAATATCATGGAGCCATTGTGGCAGTTTACCGCAAAGCTATCTAAAACGATTCAGATGAATTTAGCATGATAGATAAAGGTTGTATTGTGTCTAGTGTGCATCAGTGATGTCTGATTCACTGAAATTTAAATTCTTAGATCGATAGATCACGTCATAAGTTGACTGAGAAAATATCCCAGATTCAGTGACAGGCTTGATATGGCCAAGATCATAGAGCCCTGACCAGATCTTTTGGACCCATAAATCATGATGGAAGTTTAATCCATATGAATGTGCATGAGGCGTCGCACCCATTGTTGTCGTAGAGAGACACAACACACTCAATCAAGTTGCGAGTGCTTGAGGATGAGGCTTTGGCAAGGATTTGGACATCCTGCATAGACCTCAGCGCCTTCTCGTTGTCGAAACTGAGTTGCACCACGGAAGTAGATTTTATTCGATCAAAGCCTCAGCCAGGACCGCAAAGGTGCAATAAAGTAGTTTACAGCTAATAAATACTGCATTGCTGTACAAAACTGAGTAATTTTTTAAAAAACTCTTAGTGAAATGACAGGTACCCCGTATATTATGCACAGATGAATGAAGAAGAGAATAATGCCACCATACCACCCCCATGTTTGTGTGTTTCCCCTTTGAGCGCGATGGCAATATAGGAGCCTATGCTCCACCACTAAAAGAAATGTCTGGAATATATATAGATGCTATTGCAAACGACACCAGTAAGTAACCACAATGGGATAGCAGAACTAGCACCAATTGCATTGTAACACATTCCGATTGATCCTATAAAAGGGGTATCGTGGATCTTGTGTCATTAAAAAATTGTTAACTGTGTTTTGGTGATGTCATCTTCATTTGCCGAGTCAAGGCTCACTCAAAGTCGACTACGATGGCTCACGTTGTTGAGATTAAATAACAAGTTAGACTTATTTACATCAGTTGCTTCACTTGAGAATGTGAAGGTGCATCTATTCGCAGCCCGAACGTTAGAAGATAGGTATATGTCGGCGATTGTGTTGATGGGCTGGGATGAGTTATTGTCAGTTATAACTTTGTTCTCACACTTTTGTTATTAGGCTATCAAAGCGAATAGATATATTTATTTGATTGGCTATCAAGAGGGGAGCCATCAAGGTTATGCGTATATCAGATGCTTATATACCTAATATAAGAATCAATAATGCTAGACTTATTTCTCTCTCATAACTCCTTCTTCTCTTTTTACTTTTCTTAAACAATACTACCGTTGAGTAGCAGTTTTTCCGGCATTGATTATTTTTTACTTCATTTAGGCATAAACCTGAGTTAGGATATATCCATCAGTTCCTTCATTATGAATCAAGGGAACCAATTTTCTGAGCACTTTTTGTCGCCAGTATATTCACCTTATGATGGTGATGAGGATCGCGTTAATTTCACTTTACTCAATGATGACTTGGACTACGATTCTGACACCTCCATTCAAACTCGCGTAATGAGCCAACCAAACACACAAATGCGCATAAGCAGCTCAAGAGCTTCATTGCATCGACAAAATTTCCCATCAGCAAACCCAGAGTATGCCGACTATCATATGCAAGTGTTTCCAGTCATTTATAAATTCTCTGAATTTATACTTGAGAGCTCAGAGAGTACTCATCACGAAGGTGTTGCTCCTCTTCAGAATATCGAAAAAATTGGCTTGTATTGCCTCAAGGATCTCATTAACTTTAGTCCCGAAGACCTTCGACTTCGTGGGTGGAATTTTCTATCATTGTCAGAAAAAAATACTGGGATTGCGCCGTTCTCGATATTACCCGATTGTCCAAACATATTGGAAACACGTTTTGCGAACACATTTGACATTTCCAGGTTTATGTATCATATATCACTTGATCTTTCAAAGCGTCATGATAGCATTGATCCAGTGTATTTGGTCTCGAAGCTTGTTAAAGCCGCTGTAAGTAGTGAGCCCTTTAACTTTACTCACGAATTCACTCCTCAATATACCTTTGACGGGAGCCTTTTAGACCCTTCGTGGGAGTCAGATACTAATGAATTTTCTTCGATGGAAATGGAGAAGTTCCCTAGCACCAATGACGTCAATGAGTTCGATTTCTGCATGGTTTTGGCTTCAACTGCATGTGATAAAAGAGTTCCTTTGAGGTGTATTCAATTACTTCATCAAATTGCCAACAAGTGCCTCCTCGGTCCACAAACACACATTTTAACATCATGGGGGGTCCAACATGTTGCAAAACTTCTAATTATCCAGCTAAATGAAGCCATCCAATCTTCTGAAGAGGAAAAGGCATGGATTTTGGCTGCTCTTTCATTGCTTTGGAAAATCGTTGTTGCTTCTTCAGATGTTGATGTATTGCTATCATTACTTCGGTGGAACTATTTGAATTTTAAAAAGGTGGGGGCAATGAGTCTTCTAGGAATTGCGCCTCTGGTAAATTCAATTGAGTCTCATAGTGTTGGACGAATAAGGCTATCGCTACCGCCCTCTCGTTATCGAGAGCGCCACGTATCATTTGCACACTCTCTCACATCTATTCCCGTAGGCACAATTAAAGGTTTGTGCGTTACCGGGTCTGAGTCAGACCTTTTCTGTGTGCTTTTCACCAACTCCGGTGTGTACAAGGTTTCACTAAATCCGCCATATATTATAGCCCAAAAGTCTTCTTATACCACCGAGTATCTCAGGGCACTCTTCGTAGAGGGTGACAAAGTGGTTGTATGGATCGCCTCTGGGAAGGACTTGGACATTTTGGACTCCAACTCTCTAATGCCTTGCGGAAAAATTAAGGCCCCTCTCTCCAAATCCAGTGAAGAGTTTGTAGTATATGCTGGGAATGAACAGTTTGTAACACCATACTACTATTCTGCTGGTCAAACCCGGCGGAACGTTTCTTTCATGGGAACTGAATTTAGTGGCACAATGAATCCCTCCTCTTTGCTTCTTCCAAGAACTACTGACTCTCTCAGTGTTCAGTTCTTTATATATGCTACTGTGCCTGCCGACGCGACAACCACAATGGAGGTGGTTTCTGCGTTTATAAGTGATAAAAAATGGTTATCGGTAAAAGTTGCTCTAGATTACCAGACAGCAACTATGACACTCACCTTTGAGCACGGAAAGGACGCTGTTGCGGAGATTGAGGAGCCGATTTGCTCGGAGTGGGTGCTATGGAGCGCCACCTTGACCTCTCTTAATCATATTGCCACATGGGCGATCTATAGGAACGGTGTTTGTTGCGATGCCCGAACTCAAAGTGGACCTCTTGTCAGGCCGTCTGACTCACTGTTTCTTAGCATTCTTCAGGGGCGCTTTACAGGTTATCTTGCATGCATACAGGTGTGGAGCAGAGAGCAAGCTATAGAAGATATGATATTGGCTGGAATGGAAGGAAATATTGCCAATCGATCTCAGTTTCTTCTGTGTTCATTCCCTTTGGATGAGGGTATCGGATGTTACTTTCACAGCAAATCCTCCGGACTAGTGTTTCGGAGTCAGAACTGCAGTTGGCTACCATGTCCAAAACCATTGCCAGGAAAACTATGCACCAGCGAGAAAACTTTCTGGAAACCATATGGAGAGTACTATATGACAACAAATGAATTTGAGCTTGTTGTTGTTGAGGAAGGCTATGCGACATGGATCAACAAAGAGGGAAGAATTCTCGAGCAACAAGCAACCATTTTCAGCCCGACAGATCGAATTTTCTATTCCCCGATTGATGGAATGATCTACAGTGCCGCCCATGATAATTTTGAGGTGAGCTCTATACGAGTAGCTGGGACCCCTACCAGCCGCATGAAGGAATTGCCTTCAATGCAATGTTGTAAATCACACATCAAAAGCATTCTCGATCGTGTAAAGGAGGGAAATAAATGCTCAGTATACGATATAGCGCTTTATTTGGCGTATGTTGTGAACATCAATCTCATCATTCTGAAGGAAAACCACTCAAACTTTCAGAACCTTTTATCCTTCAATGTCATCACGACTGTCTCCTTAAAAACCGTTGGACGTCTACTAACCATTTGTCAAGAGGTGATTGACAGTATTGCCAAACGTGATATCAGTGACTTTGGAAACCTGGTTCTGTGTATCGCTGGTAGATTGCTAACACACCAGATGAAACTATTGCAGTGTCGCTGCCCCGCTAAAGTGGTTTCTGAAATTGTAAGTGTGTACCACTTTTTGCAAAGCAATACCTTACCCAACGAAGTGCTTATTGTGGAGGCTTTAGATGTGTTCTCTGATCTTCACAGAACTATTCTTGCTGAGTGCGTGAGTCATGACTATCAGCTCAAACTCATTAACGAAAGCGCCAATTTCAGGGATGTAGGACAGCTACTGCAGCCAAATAACCTCCTGTCACTAGTTTGCTCTGTAATCGAGAAGGATATGAAAAAACCATTTATGTCATTCCTTAATCGCCTTAAAGAGGAATGCAAAGCAGAAACGCATTGCATATTCTCACGCAAGCCAGTGAGTTTTAACGCTTCGGAGGCAATACTAACGGTGATTTTCGGTATACTTTCACAAGAGGTTAACCCTCAATGGCATCTTGTTGCAGTAGCATTAATTAATACTCTCTGCAAATACATCATTCAACAATTTGAGCAATACTTTCCTTCGTGGAATGACCAACTCTTAAATCTTGATTTGCTCAAGCAGACTTTCGTTGGTGTTGTTTTATTTCCAGTCGCCCATTACTTGTATGAAATGGATATTGATACGTCTTTTGTAACCGACTATCTCAGGGCACTTAAGGATACATACGATCGTCTTCAACGGTACGCTTTGGCCATGCATGATCCCTCTGTTAGAGCTGTCAAAATCACAGACACTTACTCCATCGTCCCACGTGCGCAATTTTCCACAGATTTTCAGGCAAAGTTGGATCTTCGCTATGCGCACAGCTTACGAGTAGAAATGAGCACCTTAAAATCGCGTAGTGAGGATGACTCTTACCCATCATTACTTGTTACACTTATTAACAATGAGTATCACTCCATTTCGGTAACTCTTTCTTACGACGACGCAAGGGAAGTCACGTTTGATTTGGGTGGTGAGCTGAACTTTCAAGCAACCATTGATGAAAACTGCACAAATGTCATCATAACGGTTTATGCAGATGTTGAGCTAAATGTAGAGATGACGAGCTGGATAGAAAGCATTTGCCAGGCGTTAATCCTCACAATAATTCGTATACCAAATCTAACTATACACAAGTTGCTTCACCAGCGAAACATGCAGATACGCGCATCTTCTTTTCTTCGTGGGGGTTTATCAAAGGGGACGCTAAAAAATGAGGATCTGCTGCACACCAGTGACTATCATGCACTTGAAATCTTGGAACAGCTTGCCCGGACAGTGGAAGATAAAGTGCTAGGATCTAATCTTGTGTCAAATTGGAAGAATATGTTTGCCTCCAAAAATTTTCCGTATCCAAACCGACTTGAAAATGTTATAATGTGGTCCTGTTGCGCACTAACTTGGCATTCAATGAAAAATTCATTGGAAAATGATGCACTCGTGAATCACATGTCAGGCATTCTCGACTTACTTAAGAAAAAGGCATTTTTATTCCTTGAAGCTCTCCAGCAAGAGAGGGAGGAAGATATTGTCAAGCGTGCACGATTTTTGCTCCTTGACGTTAGCCCACGAGCAAAAGCTGAGGCCCATCTGACAGAGCTACAACATACTGAGGAGCCCATCGTAGGGGCGATTTCTAATCGCCATTCGACAAAGGCTTCCCAGAGTGTTTGTTTGGCAGCTAATCGAGGCCAAAGCGGAAGTGCATTTAGTTTTGGCAGTGTTGATACGCTTCAACTTTCGAATGCGCCTACTGTTTACTTTTCTAGCACTAATGCAAGTGGTCTTAATCGCAGGATGACAACTATAAGAGCTTTTAACAAAAATCTCAAAGATGACTCCGATATGCTCTTAAACCAAACTATTCAGTATCTGATTAATGGAGCGAAGGAGACCACAGAGGAGATTGTTAGTGTTCTTTCCACGCGGTCACGTTGTGCTACGCTACTGATTGATGACTATAAACTGATGGAGGAATTATGCAGGCATTGTGTCAACAACGATAGAATGTTGGGCTGCCTTCTCAGCTCACACTTACATCACCAAAATAGACTAATTCAGCATCTGTACAAAGGTTCCCGTGATAAGGCAGGTCACGCAGAACAGGAGATTGACAACCATTACGACAAATACATCTACGGCTGCGGTTTTGTACAGGAGCTTGAGTTACATAAGGCGTTTTGCTTGTTCATACGAACCGCCTTGCATAACCTTAGGAAAAGGCTCATCAGTAACAAAGAGTTCCCTTTGAAGGAGTCTCTGGAAATGTGCGCTATTCTTTGCCATCCATGGGATAGCGTAGATTTATCAATTTTGCAGCCTTGCGATATCTTTGATTTTCTTCATCGACTTCTCTCAAACGTTTTTACGAGGTGCCTGAATAATCTTCAGATTGAGGATAAGTCGGCTGCCTATTTTGAGAGCAAAGGGATTTTTGACTTGTTCCATCGATGTTTGATAACACCCAATTCCTTGCTTCATATTTCCATTGAGGGAGTACATATTGTCGATGGAGAAGTCCAAGGTTTGCATGTTGAAGGTGCGGATATCATATGCAGTGCACGGAACCATTGGAAGCTGTCAGCTCATGCAAATGTGCTGCACCCCAAGAGTGAAACCGACTGGTTTGCGAACTATGGGCTGCCTTGTATTGTTACCGAATTTCCCACTGTGCAGTATTTTGAAATCACACTCGATCTTTGCGTCTGTACAGAGCCTAAAATTTCCATAGGAGTGAGTTTCTTGTTATTGGCACCAACTGACCCTTCGCGCACTGATCAGGCTATTAGGTTCTCCTCAGATGGTGTTGTTACTCTTCCAAATCACAGGGCTCTTAAATTCAGTGGTAGATGGAAAGGGGAGGATGTCATTGGATGTGGTGTGCTTGCACCTAACAACAGTGTTTTCTTCACTCGAAATGGAGAATTCCTTGGGATTGCCACAGAGTGTGATTTTGTGACCATGATTCCTTTTGTTGAGGTACATGGGATCGGAACTCTCATAAGGGTGCTCGTTAATTTTGGGACTGATCAAGCCTTCAAGTTTAATATGGCAAGCTTGCATAGTTCATGTCGACATCGGTATTTAACACCGAATACCGTATGTGATGCAATCCTTATCACAGTGCACTACCTTATTACCATGTGCTTCAAAAACTTTTCGTCTAATGGGGAAGTCACCGCTCCAAACCAGGATGCAATTGGCAATCTTCTTGAGAAATCAACTGAATTCCTTCATAAATATATTTCCGAGTTTGTCGAGCTGCACAACAGTCGCTCCTTGACTGAATCTGCGATGCAAAAAGATTCCGCACCAGGTGGTCAGGAGTTTATTTTAATTATGATATCACGACTTTTTCATTGCTTATCTCTTGTCATCGAGTGCTTCCGTTTCGATGCTGTCGCGCCCAAGACGCACTCCAGAGTTCTACATATTTGCGCTTTCGCACTCACTAACGCGCATAATAAATGGATCAAGGTTCGTGCAGCCAAATGTCTTTGTCTTGTGAGGCAGGTGATGCGTGAGGACCTACTTGCGGAGGCCGCCGACATGTTTGGCCGAAGTGCTGCAACACAAGAAATAATTAGCCAATTGTTTGAGTTAGCACGTTCAAAACACACGAACAGACTCGAAGCTTCACTTTCTTTTCACAAATGGTTAAACAATACTACAATTGTAAGGGGTAAAGGAGCCTTTTTTGGGTCTACTCCAATGCCAAAGAGCGGAACGCATATAGTCGGCTTTCGGATAAGGCGCTGTCATCAACCAGATCAGGAAACAGGATCACCTTTGGGTGGATGCTACTACGTCGGGTTGTGCCATGGTCAACCACAAATTAGTTGTATGAACAGTCTTATCAATCGCAGAGATGTTTACGTCTTGCAAGACACTGATGACCAAGACCAAGTTTCTCACTTGTTGTTGAGGCGACAGTTCATTCCCAAGAACACATTCCGACGGATTTACGGAAACAACGAGCTGGTATGGGTGCAATTCAATGCCGATGTTGGCGAGATAACATTCTACCGAGAGAATATGGTTCTGATTGGGCTTGCGTTTGCCAATATTGAAAAGACCGATGATCTTTATCCGATCGTCTTTCACTTCAATGATGATGCATCATGTGAGATCCTTCCGCCGCCGACCTCTGTTTCTGAGCCCGCTGAACACACCCCGGAAAGGCTATGCCGAAGCATAGCTGTTGATACACTTCAGCAGCTTCATCTCATCGCTCCATTTCAAGCGATGATCACAAAGGAGTTGCATCGATCGATCACTCGACTAGACCGTGATTTGGAGGGCTGTCTTGGAGCCCTAGCCGTTCTTGGTGGAAAGCGTAGCTACCAATATTGCCTCCACGATACGTATGGCCTGGTTGTTCTCCATTCAGTCGCTGATATCACGAGAAAGGCTGCTGTATATCTGGCTAGTGACCAAGAGAGACAACTGTTTTCTGTACCGTTGCAGACCCTCAAGCCCAGTTTCATTAAAATTCCACTTTATGCATCGGGGAGTGCGGTGTCAGACTCTTGTGTGTCTTTACTGACCAACGAGCTTTGTCACATTTTGTATGAAGCCACACTTGTAGCACCACTTACACGACAAGAAGAAGAAGCCAGATTACGTATTGAAGAAGAGTACGCGCAATCTATTGAGGCAACCACAACGTTAGACTTGATTGGAATATTGTCGTCACACTATTTTCCTGAGTCAGGAGGTAGACCCCCAGTGGCGGACACTTTTGTTGCTCAATCAAGCACTTCCTCCTTGATAACCACTGTACAGCCGGTAGTTATTGATCGGCACTGTTCCACTAAATGCCTGTTTACACCAAATCCTTCTGTTGGTGTTACAACTACCCAGGGAACCACTACACTGCGTGGAAACGTAATTTTCGATCGCATTTTCAACTTTTCTGTCAGCATAGCTCAATGTCCATTAGACAGTGTATTATATGTGGGAATGACATCTTCTACATCCACCTTTCCTCAAGGAGTCGAAGAGGTTGCTAATTGGGAGGACACGTGGGCGCTTTGCAGCTGCGACTCTGAGAAGACCAACAGCGTAAACTGTTGTGTCGAACCAGGCATGATTTTCAGCGGTGGTGCAACCCTTTTCACTTTGGGCGATATCCTTATTGTCAGCGTGAATCGGCATGAGGGCACTGTTGCGTTTTTCCGTTTACGAAAGGGAAAGCACCGAGTTGACTTCGGTGTGCTTTTCGAGGGTATCCCCAAAGACGCTATCATACGGCCTATTGTTGTATGTGGACCTGATACAATAGTGGCATTTTCTTTTATGGATGGTGTTACATTTCCAGCACGTAATACATTTCCTGTAAGCAATTTCACAAGGTCAGCTCGTAAGATCTTTTCTCAATGTACAGTGTGTGAAGCTTTGTTGGCTGCGCCATGGTATGGAAGTGAGGACAATATCACATTGTGTGAGCAGTGCTTCTTGACGTGGCGATATCCAGAAGAGCTGTTTTTTGTTGAATATTCATCTTCCGATGCTTCCGCGATTCCCATGTATCTTGCATCAAGTTTCGCACCGGCAAACCTTATCAAGAATGATTACGTAGAGTTCGAGGAAAATTGCGTGCTTTCCTGGTCCTCTAATAAGAGTGTCAATATAAAAGTAGATGGAGCATCTTGTGTTTCTATTTTTGACGAAGGCTTTGCAATAACAGAGCCACTTTCTATTTATGGGACCTCACGTGTAGATATTCAGGTGGGATTTATTGCAGGAGTGTCTGGTCATCCTTTCAGTGGGCTTCTAGCCTTTACTCCGCTTTGGCGTGAGGATCAGTGCACGAGGACAACTTCCGTGCTTCAAGGCGATTCTTTGCTTATCAGCTCTTCGGTTGTTCCTTTTAACTCAAAGGCCCTTTTTTCTGTTCGAGTTACTGAGGCTAAGCCCAACAGTCCCATTGCGTTCGCCAATGTCTTCATAGGTATCAGCAATTTTTCAGATTATAGTTACTCGATGACACGTGCAGATATGGAACGCCTGTGTGCCAATAGCAAGATATGGGGTACTTGGTGTGACTGTAAGGAAAAAATATGTGCTGATGGTACTATTTTCGTTCTATTGGACTGCACCCACGGTACCATTCGCATTAGTGGGACACTTGAGGGGTTGTATTATAATCCTTTTATAATCACTTGTACCTTTTCATCGGAGGGTGATGAAAACCTACACCCGGCTCTCTTTTCACAAGACACTTGCCAGGTTACGTCTTTCGAAGGATTCACTTCATTCCGTGACACCATTGAGCCAAGCCTTTCTCCGATAGCGATAGGATTGGTACCAGAAACGTTCACCCGGCCCAATGAATCCATGTTCGAGGATTCTATCATGCTTATGGACACCATCTCTCGCACAGAATTTTTTTCATCGACCAAATGGGAATTTAGCGAATACGCCGTGAACAACAATAATGGGATACTTTTCCACATTGATGACACGCTTACCTTTATACGACAAAAAAAAAATCTACAGGTGTTTTCTCAAGGTGTTTTGATTGCTTCTTTGAGATTCAGCGAAAAACAGGCCTTCCGTCATTACTGTTTAATGCTATATTTTTCAGTGAAAGGACTTTCTGCTACGTTTGTACCTCCCCTGTATGGATACACGCATTTGGGACGCGTCGTAGAGGTATGTGGCCCCGAGGTTGGCATAGTAGAATGCGTAGATAACTTAAAAGAGCAAAGACGATTCACGATTCGTCGCAAAGATGTTCGTTTTTGTGCGCTATCTGCTTCTACGTACCATCCGGATGCCATAAGATCGGGAATGCCAATTGCATTCAAGACAGCACCAATGCAGCTACCAAAAAGAGGCATCATTCTCTCGGTATCAGTCGGTACTATTAGTGTTCGTGAGTCTGACGATGAGCGGGCAATCATTTCCCTGAAGATGGACCAGTGCTTTGTCTTAGACAATGAAGGGAAAGAAGTCACTAGGAAGGTTTTGTACCCTTTAGTAGCGCCTTCTTTGACAGCGTCGGCGGTGATGTTTGAGGTGGGAAAGTCCAAATATGGACTTAGATGCAAAGGATCCCACAACGGAATTATGTTTGACTGCTACACAAACAATTCTATTGAGATCACTGGGTTGTCGGTTTTGAGCCAAACATCTGGACGGCACCGTGCAGACGTATATTTCAAGAAGGGGAGCCACAAAAGCTATGAGCGTGACGCGCACGCGTGGACGCAGTCTTTTAGTGGGTTTGTTGAAATGCAGGCGGAGCAACAATTTTCTCTCACATTTTCAACCATATATGTAGAGGCGGGTGATACCTTTTCTTTCTTTATCAACACTTCCCATAACTGTGGTGTTGGCTTCTATTGCGAGGATGATGGGTGCCATGGGGAGGTGGGTAGTGTATTGGACAATGATGATACGATCACCGTTTTTCTAGGGCGAAAGAGTGACAGTAGCATTCCTTTTCGAGATATCAGTATAGGATCCAGGGGATTCTGTGGAGGTATTGCGTACAGAAAAACTCAAGATAGCAAGCCTCCACTGATTGAGGGTACCAAGTGCCCGACGGCCGTCTACGACCCTTCATTTTCGTCTGGTAATAATTTTTTAAAGTTAATTAGTCGTCCAGCAAAGAACGCGGTCAGCTCATCCGTACGGTTTACTGTAGAGGTTACAAGTACCCCTGTGCGCATCAAGTCTATTTCTGTCCCAGTAATTCTCAAAACCTCAAACAACGAGTCACATAATTTGGTCCATTATGTGGTCTCGACGCTTTATCGTGCATTACCCCCAAATGCACCCACCGACCAGGAAATTCTACCCGATGAATGGCGTTGGGCATGGAATACACGTGTTTTAATTGATTCAACTTCTACTGATGTTGTTTTGGAAGGCACCGATATCAAACTGAGTAAGGGCCGGTATTTAATTGCTCTTGTTGTGAGAAGTGTGAGCGAAGAGCATGCTAGCTGTGAGGAGCACCGCCGACTTTTTCTCATTTCCACAACAGATCCAACGTACACAAGACGGAACGTCTTTGTATCAGTAAGTGGCTTTTACGGTGATATTGTGGTGTCCGAAGATGAGCCTATGGCTTTAGGTGAGACACATACCATGATCACCGGCACTTCTTTGGTTCAGTCCAACTCTGCTTCCTACAATGGTATCATGTTTGATTTGAGAAGCCAAAAAGATATTACACTGGAAGAAGTATTCTTTATGTCACAAACAAACGCTAACTATGTCACGGTGCGTCTCTTCTGGAAGGAGGGAAGCATGATTGGAGCCGAAAAATCTCCGTTACAGTGGATAGAAGTTGGCGTTAAGGAAATGAAGCTTGCAGATAAGGAGCTCTTTTCCGTTGGACCGCTGTTTTTACGCATGAAAGCGAACCAAACGTATGCAATTTACGTTAATACGTCTTCCAGCTGTGGAGTCCGGTTTTACAATAGCAGCGACGGAAACATGGGGGATATAGGTGATGAGTTCGAGGACGATGGCATTTTATCTGTTTTTGTCGGCTGTAAGAGTGAATCATCATCTCCTTTTGCTGAAGTTCCTTTAGACCCCCGTGCATTCCGGGGTAAAATAATATATCGTACATACATGACGAACCCTACCGAAGTTTCCAACCAAGCGATATTTTCGTTTGCACGTGCGTTTGTTCTGACTCGAATATTAGTGGCTTTGTCATCTTACGTGGACTTGACGAGTACGAACCGCAACAGCTATATGTATCATAAACTTCTATCTTCTGTGATGATACTCGCGGCATTACCAGGTAACACTTTAAATGATTTGAACGTTACCGATAACATGCTCGTGACTGCGTTAAATGAATATACTGTTGATGAACTAAAAAAGCGTATGCTAGCGGTACCACTTTCTGGGGAGAGGACGCCGCTATTTAATACCATTAACAACAACGACCTTGGATTATTAGTGGACTCAGCAGCACCTGCTAATAATAGTCTAGTTTCTATCCGGGACGCTGATTTTAGGGATAATTGTGCACTGGTGTATGACCTTGGTAAGACGCAAACGTATCTTGCTTCCATTAAGAGCATTATTCCCTTGGCAAAATGCTGGCAATGCTCAAGGGCCTACGCTACGACTGAGGTTTGTTCATCCACCGAAACTACCCACTCAGCGCCCCCTGATGAAGAGAGCCGTATCATCCACACCATAGCAAATGCGATTGTTGAGAGGCATGGCAAGGATGAGCAAAAGTGTCTTGCCCTTGCAAGACATTTGCTGCAAAATCCTTCAGCAAACGTGAACGAATTTTTACATCCTGCCAAGAAGGATTCGTTATCCAATTTTGAATTTCAAATGACCGCTTTTTCCAAAGCTCCAAACGTGGTCGCGTATGAAATACCTATTGCGTTGCTCGTTCCCGAGGAGGAAAGCGAAATATGCCTCTCTTTTACATGTCCTTTTGTATACTGCCAGGCGCTTGGGGCGCTTGTTTCATTGAATGTAAAATCGACTTCTCACTCTGCGTCCTTCAATTTTATTACCGACTTTCCCATTCGGAGATCCGCACATGATTGTGATCGATGCTATTCTCTGCAGCTTCACTTTTCATCGGCTAATGGACTCAATAATTTCTTGATGGAGCGTTCTTTCACGTATATTGCGGCTTCCAATGGTTGTGTCAGTGAGTGCATCGTCCCATCTCTACCTTCTGCACTTTTCGCTTGCATGGGCATGAATGGGACTGTTAATATCAACTTAACCATAAACGAAGACGCCCTTGCTTCCGTTACAAAGCCAGTGCAGGTCAACTCGGATGGTAAAAGCTGGACGTGGGAAAATGGAACTGTCGAGGCACAGCTTAGCTCTGAAGAGCCCGTGTTCTTAGCTGGTGTGTTCAACAAAACTTTATGGCCAGAAAACAAACGGCACTTCTGTTCATTTTTAGTGATTCCAGAAGAATCTGACAAGACTGTTTTCCTTGAGGTGCATGTTATGGAAGTTCTGGATGGCTTGCATTCTTCCAGTTCGGCGAACTCAAGGATGCTGACACGAAGGCCATTTAGCCTTGTAGGTGGTGAGGTTGTCACACTTGGCTTTTCAAATGACGAATTCTTTATTTTCGACGCTAATGATGCAATTCGTTGTCGTATTGAATTAAGCGAACAACTGAAGCCTGACAAACCCTCTACCTTATATGTAGGCTTTATTTGTGTAGACCAAGAACGAGTGACTGCTATTCTTTCTGCAGATGTGTGCCACAAGAGAAGTATACGTCTTTCGAACTTCACCAGTGTTCCCAGTTGTGTTATAAATGATTTTTACATCCCGGTCTGGAGCTCTTTTGACCCTTCCCGGGTCAAGCTTTCTAAAGATAAATCCGTAGCCAGTTGCTCTACCGAGGTCGGAGGGCAGGCTGTGCTTGGCTCAGTCATCCCCAGCCGTGGTGTTTCGGTATTTGTGATTCGAATTGATCGTTCCGATCGCTCTGTGGGTTCTCCTTTAGGATCTGGGCATTTTGCGGGCGTGTCAGGCCTCCCCTTTGCCGCAACTTCGCCTCTATATAGTGAACTCAAGGCCATAGGCAATCTGTGGGTTGTCCAGGATGTTCAAGATGGTGACTCGTTGCCACATCAAGAAAGCATTCCATTCATAAAACGTAATAAGAAGACTAATGAGCTGTACTGCGTAGGTACAAGGCTTCTTTTTGTTGTGGATCAAAACGCTGGCACATTATCTTTAGCTCGCGATAACGAATCACCACGTGTAGTTTTCCGCAATATTCCGCATGGCATGTCCTTGCGTCCATTTGTAAGGCTTGATCACTCGAAGTCATATGCTACCTTGACCCATTTCTCGCACCGGAGTCTGTGTAGTCCACCCTATTACCCTTCACTAGAGGAATGCCTTTTGTCTCAGCCTATCACACCAACCTTTTTGCGGCGGGTTCCTTTACCGATAGTGCTCAAGTTTTTCCCCATTATGCGCCATGTAATCAATGTGATTCCTGAGCATCGGATGGGTGCTTTGGAAAATTTTTGGAATGATGCGAGCGTTCATTCTCGATTTGAGTATCGAATGTGCAATGCAATCGGGACGATGGTCGAGGAGGGTGCTTTTTCCCGTGAGATGTTTTGCTGTGATTTAGACAAGGTAACGGAGTTCTTGAAGCGCGCTCCAATGAAAAGGGTGATGGAATCACTCTCCGCTATTCCATCGTATGAGATGGCAGTATTTCCACCTCGGAATCAGGACAGCTGCTCTGAAGGTGACTCTGCAGTGTATTTCCGTCTGCCAGACAATTATGAGATAGTAGGAGCTGTTGAGGGAACAGACATGATTCGCGTTGTGTACATTGATGCCGTAAAAGGGCCTACTGAGAGAACTCTGTATCTTATTCGCCTTGAATACCACAAATGTTCGCTTTCATTGTACAATGAAGTTTTACCGCATTGTTCAGCAGTACAAAAGCACATGATTCTAAGGCCCCTAAATAACATACGCGCCTGCGGTGTCATTATCGATGGATGGTTTAATTGCACATTGGCAACACTACATATATCGCTTGAGCCAAAGCAAATGAAGCGGGTTGCTGCTGCAATTGTGTGCGGGATGGAGCACTGGCATTTACACGGTACCGTCCATGGCCACTTACTCCCAGAAAACGTTCTCCTGCACATTGAAAATGGTATCTTCATTCGCTGTGCCATTTGGAGGGCATATTATCTTCATCATACAAGTCCATACGCACCACCAGGCTTGCAAAGAAGCGGTGTACGTGACGTTCAAGGTGATTTATGGGGATGCGCAGAGTTGTACAGGCGCCATTTAAGTCCATACTTAAAGGATTATCCCATGATAGAAAAGTCATTTGAGTTGCTCAGAAAAAACAATTTAACCATTTCGGATGTCTTGGATGAAGGCAAAGCGTTCAAGGACACCCCCGAGGGCAGTGGTGAGGGCCCTAGTTTCACACTGAGGATAGGAGCTCGGCTGCGGGGTGGGTCAGGCTCCTACAATGGCATCATGTTCGACGTATTGGCAAAGAGTACTAAAGTCAGAGTGACTAAGCTAACTTTTTTTCCAGACACCACAACCACTGCAACTGTCACCCTGTTTGCTCGCGATGGGACTTTTCTAGGATTTGAGAACGACGCATCCTCCTGGAAAAAGATTCTTGAAACTCAAATGGTACTATCTGACAGTGTTGAGACTGTGTTGGAAGGGTTTCATCCAATCACTATACCAGCGTTGTCACGAGCGGGACTATTTATACACACGACAAGTGGAAGTGGCGTACTCTTCTATTCAGAAACGGAAGGAGTAACAGCGGGTATGGGCCAAGTGGAGGAAGAAAGCAGTGGCATCGGTATCACCGTCGGAAAGAAAAGCGAGAGTAACAAGCCATTCACTGCGATTCAAAATCAGAAACGACTTTTGAAAGGTAGCATAACTTACACGCTAATCACAAGATCTAATGGTCCTAGAAGCAGCTTAATCTATGCGTGTGATCCAAACTCAACTATCATGAATCAACCAGCGCTTCGGATACTGAATCCGATTGATGTCAAGGGTAGAGGTTGTGGCTTTGAGATTATATCATCCAGCAGCGAAAAAGAATCCCTCGTTATGCTTGATGCCGGAAAGTATGAGTGGGTCGATACTGAAAATATTTGCCCCTGCAATTGCACTGAAGCAGACTCGAAAGTGGAGGCACCACGGGCCTATGTTGTTCAAAAACAGCTCGAGTATTATGAGAAGTCGATTCTACATGCTGAATTCATGAAATCACCATGGGGAAGTCTGAGACAACTTTCATTTATGCAATTGGATCAAAATAATTCGGAGGCTGTGCAGTACATTTCGAGTCCAACAATTCTACCAAATGCAATATGGATTTCAGAGAGGTTGAAGAAAAGCTGCGTTGTATCCTTGTGGTTTTCATTGAAACAAAGCAACATTGGTGTGTATGTGTGCGAGGATCGTGGTGAGCCATCTTGTCTAAGCAGCTTCTCCCTGTCTTATATTATTCCAAACACTAATGTATGGGAAAACTTGAGTCACGTATTTTTCCATATTGACGTAGAGCTGGGATGTGTTTTTATCTCAGACTATACCAGGGTATTAAAGTGCTCTTCGCTACCATCGGAAAATGTAGCATTTCGTATTGTAGTGCGCACGCTTGATAAGGGGACAGTATTTGAGAAAAATACAACGAATTTGCGTATGTTTGCTTATGTAAATGTTCCTTACGATGAAAATTGTTGTCGCATCGATAGTGATTCTGCCATACTGCTCTTGGATAATATGGAAGACACAGTCACAACAAATGTTGGCGGCGTTTCGATCCAATGTTACCGTTCAGCTATAACAAATTCAACCAAGCTAATATTCGCAACTATTACAGGGTTGCCTTGCCGTGTTCACGTTACTGAGCTGCTCGCAGATTCGAGCAATGGAGGAGCTGCATGTAGCAGGATCACAAAGGATATTAGCGAGGAAACATCTATGCAGCTTCACAAACGAATCTCATCTCCCCTGCTGATAGAAATTGATCGTGTCGGGAAATGGTGCCTAAAGAGGGATGTAATACTCACAGAGCAATCACCGTCGCTGGAAATTCGTGGGAACGTTGTAACACAAGTTCTACGTAGTCAGCCCTGTAAGTGCACGGTTTTCTCCCCTCGATTCGGCAAAAACGAAATCCACCACGTCCTTCTACGCATGGTCTGTCCGCCTCGTAAGCCAATCGGTATTTCATTTGAGCATCTTTCTGCATCCGAACATGAAGTCATTAATTTGCCCTATTCCTTCTTTAATTACAACACCACTTCAAACTACTTGCTGAGTGAGATGCGTGAGGTTTTTATTCATCTACACATCGATTTGCATCGCAAACATATTTACATCGCCAGTAGCACCGGTACTTTCAAAGGCATGTCAGATAGGTATGAAATCTACCCAGAGTGTTGCCTAACTTTTACGTTGGACTCACCGGGTACACTTGTGGAGGTTGTGTCATGGAATGTCTTCAATGCACGCACGGAGTTATCTGTTACACCAGAGAGCTTGTCAAAAATAGCTGAAACCCTTTGTACTCGCTTTCCTTCTTCAAATTTGTCCCACACTGTGGGGACTATAATGAAATATTCCTCGCGAAGCAACGAGAATTGCTTGTATGAGAACAACCTATGTGTGTCCAAACAGCTAGAGGTTTTGCTTATTGGCTACGCACGGCTTCTTTTGGAAAAGACTTTGATATCGCAGGACGATGCACGGCAGGCTGCTCAATCACAACTGCATTTTTACATTTCCTGTACTGCTCTCCGCTCAAGTCAAGCATTGTCTGGCATAATCGACGATGAGATTCGTCGTGGCTCTTTTAACCTGATCGCGCAATCATGTGCCTACCTTCTCGCTCCTTCTATGTTGCAAAGACCTGCTGGGGTGAAGACAAGTGTCAATGTTTTGGCGTTTGCTATTCGAAACGATATTATGCGAAAAGTGCTTGAAACGGACCTTGGCCCCTCCCTGACACTACTTCTTTTGCGCACAGCCACCATTTATCCTCGCTCAATTCGACACAATGCGCTACGATGTGTCCAGGAGCTAGTGGCCAACAAGGAGGTTCCTCTCCCTTGCCATAGCTTGCTTGTGCAGCATTTTGTCCCTCTATTAAAAATGATGTGCCGGTTGTGCAAGCGAGGTGAGATGGCTTCGACAGTTGTGCAAATTGGTGTGAGTTTAGTGGCAGATATTATTGAACGCTACCGAGTCATACGGCCCTCGCTTGTTCCACCAGGGTTATACAGCAACATTCCCTTTCCTATTGTGATTTGTGCACGCGCGCTGATTGATGCGATCACAAGCAGGCCTCCAAGGCCATTACCAGAGGCACTCATGAAAGCTCGCAGGTCAGCTCACTGTATACACCATACCATCGTCACGAAGCCACCCAATGCTCAGGGTATGTCGCCATGCTACTGTGTATTTTCAGAAAATGATCGTGATGCGGAGAGCGTCAAAACGTTTGAGGTGGTCCTAAAGGGATCGCGAAAGGGAGCTGTTATTATCGGCTGGGATTTAGATTACCCACCAGAAAACCCCATGCGAGTCCTCCAAAAGTTGCCCTCCCCTGAGTTAGATAACGCGCCACTTCCTTCCTGTGGCTACTACATTGAGCCCTTCAGGGGAGACGTTTTTGTGTGCCTGGGACGAAAAAGGGAGAAAAAGCCGCTCAAGGTAAAAGTTAAGCCGGATGATGTGATCGTGGTCTCGTGCTCATACAGTGAGCGACTCATTAAGCTCTGCCTTCGCCGGGGTTTGCAAAATGAACTGACAACAAGCTTTTCCCCAACTGCCGCTGAATGTATGTCGTTGCCATTTGTTTATTTGCAGCATAACCTGGATGTGGTCTTGAATCTTGATGGATTGAATATTGACAACGACTCTCTCAATGTAGGACAGATATACGCCGAGCTTCAGACGAACCCGAAAGCACTGGACTCAGTACCCGCGCAGTCCTATGAGTTTTACGTGGAGCTGAATATGTTTTCCCAAACAGTTCTCGAAAAGGAACCTTCATCGGTGGAGGCAGGTGGGGAAATTCAAACTCATGAAGTTGCTGGATACATGCAACTTTCAGAATTTCTTGGAGTAAACGCCTTTTTAGACCGGACTATTTCTATACAGGCTCTAGAGCCGTATCGGAAGCGACTCCATATTTTCGATGCCTTAACCTTGGCCTTCTCACCATTAATAAACCTGAGACGAAAATCAGAGCTCTTCGATATTTTCCGAGTTCTCAAAAACCTCTGCTCCAAACGAACCGAGGAGAAATTTCAAGCTGATATCATGCGCCCGTTTCAAAATAGGACTGGTCGAAGGGCTCATGTGACCATACATTTAATGCAAGCAAAACCCTCCATTCAGCTTGGGCCACACCCAGCACTGATGCGCTCGGTGTTCGGAGAACTTTATCTTCATCTTCAACATACTAGCATTGATACCTTTTACGTTTCACCAATTTTTACGGTAAAGTTAATTGGCTTTGGATCTACAGACGCAGGGGGACCGTATAGGGACGTGTTGTCGCAGCTTGCGGCGGAAATAATGACGGCACATCCTAGCAACGAATTCCAAATGAACCCTCTTTTCACTCAGTATGGCGGTGAAGGGGCCAGCGCGGTGATGCCTAACACGAATATGATGAACAGCACACAAACGCCACTCATGTTAGAATTCTTTGGCAAACTGCTCGCATCCTTTTTTATCACGAGAGACCTGTTGACAGTGGAGTTTCCTCCCCTTTTCTGGAAGCTATTACTCAATGAGCCGGTTTCAGTGCACGATCTCAAGGTTTTTTCCCCCAACATCGTCGAGTTACTTGAACCTGCGAACTTGATGGACCATACGGAAGAGGAACTTGAGGAACAATTTTCTGGCGTTGCGAAGGCATGGCAGCTAATCGTCGATAAAAATCCTCATCTTCTTCTTTCTAAATCTCTTCCACCGAATACACTTGAGTCTGCACGGTTGTTATCGCAAAAAATTCTGGAAAATGACATCAACCGATTTGCAGAGGCTATGCACTACATTCAGGTGGGTTTTAGCAAAGTGCTTCCATTATACACTTTACAAGCATTCCGTTGGCAGAAGGTGAGGCTTCTTATTTGTGGAACCCATAAGCTTTCGTTTGAGGCATTTAAGTCTGAGTGCGATATTCAGCTACCCTTGAAAGAATCTCAAATGTTTCTAAGCGTCTTGGAGGATATGTCCGATGAGGACAGACGGCTTCTTCTTCGCTTCACCACCGGCCAGTCTAGACTGCCCATTAAATCACGCATTAAGGTGCAACTCAATGGGAGCAAAAACGCGCTTCCGACAAGCAGTACGTGCTTTTTCCTACTGCGGCTTCCGTCTTACAATTCTGAAGAGATGATGAGGGAGCGACTCTTGTATGCGATTCGGCAGTGCAATACCATTGATGCAGACGGACTTCCAAGAGAAAATATCATCATAGACTTGTAGAAAGGCGCTTCTCACTCATTTGTCTACACTCAAAAGGGCAATGTGCCAATCCTAATCTCTGGATTCTTCTTCTTTTTACTGAATTTTTTCTATATACACAATGCTGAACCTACTCATAGGGAAAGAAGACAAGAAAATGAACTATAGAGAATATGCTTGAGGTTATTTTTTCTCACTATGCTTTCTTTTCAGAGGACCTAATTCGTTTATTTTCGACATATGTGCTTATATTGACCAAAATGGCCTGTGGAGTAGTCCAATCTATGTGAAAATAATTGATACAGTATGTACTTGATGTGAAACCGTTGTTCGCTTCTGGAGAGCGCATCAGATCAAAGTACAGCAACACACACTTTTCGCATTATTGTTTTTTTTCTTTTACATTTTTAAAACGACTATTGATTACTTGCTGATGCGCTTCACTTTTTTTTCCAAACACCGTAATGATTCTCTGTTCGATTTCGTCTTTTACCTCTTCTATTTTCTCTCTCTTTATATACGTATCAATTTCCCATTCTGGTCGGATTCATTTTAAGGCCTTATCTTGTCTCTTCAAAAGCATGAAGGATTTGTGAGGCATGGTGCTCAAAGGATAGTGGAATGCTTCTTGTTTTATGTGGTGACATACTGTGAATTTGATAGTGTAGCACCCTCAAATAAGGCATCCGCCTATTCTTGCTTTTGCTATCTACTAGGCAAGGAAAGTCAATCAATAAAGTCTATGATGTGGGCAACCGAGCGACTTGAGGTCAATAAGCTAAACAAAAGGGATCCAAGGCAAATAAAAGATGTCTTATAATAGAAATTTGCATTCGTTCGTATGTCGACATCAGAAGCCTGACATAAAGGTTGAGTTACATAATAAAAGAAAAACTACAAGCCCTTTTTACACTGCCAGCGCAATATGCCCATGCTAGAAGTGATAAAAATGTTTTGGTAAGGTTCATGTGTGTGTGATAAATGCTCGACCACGTGTGGCACAGAGACAGGTATCAAATGTTTCTGCACTTGTTGTTTCAAGACACCGACAGCACTTTCCAAGGTTACAATATTTTAGACTCTAGAAAGCCTATTTTTGTTGTCTTTGAGTGCAAACAGCGCGCTGTCCCTATCTCATAGAATGAATTAGGTGAGCACCCCTCTCCTCTCTTAGACACTAGTAATCGCATTCCAGACTCACTTCGTATTGTAGGGGTCTGAAAGCACCGTGCCACAGATGCAGCAGTGATTCATCAGTGAAGTGCGTAACCCATAATATTCTCTGTTGTCTAGTTGCGTTGAAAGCGCACATGTTAGTAGCGTGAGTGTGAGCACCCTTGATTTTGAGTCAACGTCATATTGAAGAAGAGTCATTCATGAAGAATGGTTTTCAACTAGTCTTTAGGCTACGTTCCAGCGTTTATTTGTGCATTAGCAAGTCCGCACGTTCATTTAATGCTGCCTAGAAGCCTTCAATATCCTTCTATTTATTTTCCTTTCTCTAATCTAGCTTGATGAGTTTAATCTCAGTGCTATTTTTAGCGCTCCATGTTCCTAAGGGACACCGAAGACTACCTTTGGTGACTCCACCAGACATATCTTCCACATACATCTTCCCCTTCCTTTTTAAGTTCCTTTCGGAGACCCTCATTGTTGCTACTATTATTCGCAGAGTAAAATTTGAGCTACGGCATGTTTTCCTCAGCTCCCCTTTCATATTGTAAATGTATGCAAATCTTATGTTGTTTCACTTTATCGCGTTTTTGAGATCCAAAAATGCATTGATGTGCAATCAAGTAATTCATTCAACTCTTTTTTTTTCCTGAGTATGGAAGGAGTTGTACTCTGCTCTTCTTATTCTTTTCGATTTGAATGGAATAATTGATTAGGTTGAATGCCTTGCTTTGCAGCACCATATCATCATTATTGTAAGATTCGCTTTCCCCCATTTTCTTTTTTTCCTTCTTGTGAGGCAGACTAGCATCTTGTTTCCTACTTAGTTGACGCTTGAAAGAGAATTCTTGCACTTTGAATTGGCTGCTTTGTCTATTTCGTTGTTTGATAAAATATCTCATAATGCCGAAAATCGTAGGTTCTTACAAGAATGCACACAGTTTTGAGGAGCGGAAGAGGGAATCTGAAAAGGTTCATGAACGAACACCAGATCGCATTCCAGTAATCTGTGAAAAGGCAGAAAACTCACGGATACCCGATCTTGACAAGGCAAAGTATCTGGTCCCTCCCGATGTGACTGTAGGAGCTTTTCTTGTGAGCATACGGCGACGCATCACAATTGAGCCTGAGAAGTCCATATTTCTTTTTGTGGGAGACACCGTCCCGGCTAACGGTACGCTGATGTGTGACTTATACAATGCTTACAAAGATGAGGATGGGTTTCTATATGTTACGTACTCTGCGGAGAATACATACGGATGACTGTATCCTTAATTCTTGCTTTTTGCTTAGAAAAAAAATACAATTTTAGTTTGCTGTATTCTCATGCGGGCACGCAATATCATTTATACGCTACTCGATATTTATGCTACTGTATTTTCCCTTTTTTTGGATGGAAGTAAACTGATATGTGCATCACAAAGATGAAAAAACCACCACACTCCGTTAGTTTAAGTTAGGTGAGTCGACATAGCTTTGTGGACAATGCCTCTCAGTAAAGGGGTTCATTCAGAGGTTCGTTTCTCAACCCTTTCACATAAGAAATTCGATGTTGTATTGGCTCCCAATTGAATCCTCTTATGGTACTCTATATGTATTAGTTGAGATAGTTCTTTCAATTCTTTTTACATACTAAGAACCAAAAAATAAGTAATAAACCAAAGCGGCGTTAGGAAGTAAACAGTAATTATGGTCGTTATTTCAGGTGTAGGTTTCGCTACTATCGATTACTTATATACAAATGTTGACTTTAGCAGTGAGGCTTTTAAAAGGAGTATGTCAAAGTAAAAAGGGGATGGTGGCCTAAACCCGGGGCATTTATCATTTGCCAAGGACTGGGAACAGTACACTGGTAAGTCGCTTGATGAGATGCGAAAAGAGCAAGGGTGGCTACACAAGCCAGATTCGCATAATCTTGGGGGACCATGCATTGTTGCCATGGTAAATGCTGCACAATTGACTTCACATCTGAATTGCAAAGTGAAGTATTACGGTGCCTTCGGTAATGACGATACAGCAAAAATAGTAATCGATGTACTGAAGAAGACTCCGATTGATATAAGCAATCTTCGTCTATATGACAACAGGGAATCCTCCTGTGCATTTTGTCTTTCAGATCCAAACTACGCCAATGGAGCGGGTGAGAGATGCTTTATTGTGGATACTGGAGTTCTTGGCACCTTATCTTCCGATATGATTATAAGCGAGGATTTCTTTAAAGGCGATATCTTGTTTTTTGGCGCCACTGCTCTTATGCCTCTTCTTCATCAAGAGCTTACCTCATTGCTTTGCAAAGGGAAGCAGAAAGGTAAAATAAATGTCGTGGCGACAGTTTATGATCAAGTCAATGAAACCAAGCACCCACACAAACGGTGGCCAATGGGGAAGTCTGACGACTCCTTCAAGTACATGGACCTCCTTATGGTTGACATGGACGAAGCGTTGGGAATCAGTGGTAAAACGAATGTTAAGGATGCCATTGATTTTTTTGTGGAAAAGGGAGTAAAGGCCTTTACCATTACTCACGGATCCAATAATGGTTATGCATGGTCGGATGGCACGCTTTTCAAGAAGATGGATCTGCACACATTCCCAATTTGTCAAAAAATTGTTGATGATATCACTGCAAACCCGTCAAAACGAGGTGACACCACCGGTTGTGGCGATAATTTCTCAGGCGCCATCCTTGCTTATATTGCGGAGAGCTTGGAAAAGGGTAAAACCCCTGGAGAACTTGACCTTCGTGAGGCAATCAGCTGGGGTGTCGCTGCAGGGGGTTTCGCCTGCTTCTCTGTTGGGGGTACCTATCTTGAGAAAGAAAAGGGGGAAAAGAGAAGGTTAATTGAATATTATCGTCGTCACTATATTTCTCAGATGAAGAGCTCAAAGTTGTAGGAAGGTTGCCTATTTTATTTATAGTCGCTGTAGTTTTTCAGGAAACTATCATCCTTTATATTTTGTAAAATTTCGAGTGCCTTTAGAGTTTTTTTCTAATTCTGTTATCCTTTTGATTATGAGGATCGAAATACAGGTGCCGTGCAAACAAAACAAATTAATTTACCACCTTCTGTTTTTCAAAAATAATGTATTTATATGGATGAAATAAAATAGCAAATATATCAAATGAATTGACTTCCTCAATTCATGGGTAATTATGCAAGGTAATAATTATCTACTACAGAATAATCTCAATGTCTATTTTCATTGATGTTTGATGTATTTGTGATTTTATTTGTAAATGTGCTTCTTTTTAATGGCAAACTAGAATTATAGATAAAAAAACAGTGCTATACGCCACAAAACCTTAAATCATGAAAGAGGTAAATGAGGTCTGAATTTATTCGCCATCTATGGCAAACAACGAGTTAAAATGTAAATGATGATCATGCTGACATCTATACTGTGATGATTCCAGCAAAAGTGCCACATAACTTTATCTGTAAGTATCAAGGTAAGGAAAGGGGATAGAGGAAAACTCTTAGTTGTAGCTTTATATATTCAAAATGAATAGATGAATTGAGAGAATGTTTCATTCCAAACCATATATCTGATCTAGAGAATGCGTCGAAGACGGGTCAATTGCATTACTACGTCGATATGGCATCAGAATTTGACGTGCCAGGTCGCCAACAGCTAGATGATCTGACACGTCTGTTTGATTCCTTGTGTCGTGAGAAATCTCCGACAGCTCTTTTTTCAAAACGAGAGCTTTTTTATCCTCTGTATTCATATGTCAAAGGGCTTACTAATGAGGGCTCTGACGTGCAGGTCACGAAAGCAGCACGAGATAAAATTTGCCACAAAGTCGGTGAGCGCATGAAAAAGGTTCTCGAGGTGAAGTTGATCTTTTTAAAGAAGAAGAGGGACAATGTGGTCCCCTCTAACGCGACCCTAGAGATTTGTCTGAGATCGACTCTTAAAATGTACGTATTTATCCTGTGCAATATATTAATGTCAGTCGCTCCTCCACCTGAAGATGATGGAAGTGGCTTTGCCAGTATAGCTACGCCATCACAGCGCCGTGGTGCTCGTCGGAAAAGGCGATTCGGTGAATCGGAGGCTGGATTTGGCGATGATGAAAGTGGAGTTGACATGGACGGACGAAAATTAGCGCTTGCGTCTCTTATTGAGCTATGCTCACCTGAATTTATGGCATTCTGGCCAGACAATTCCCTCGAAAGCGGGAGACTCAACCTTACTATGGAAACGATTTAAAAGATGATCATTCAGAAATGAAACGTCCAGAATGACGTTTTATCGATTGTTAGTTCTTTAGTTTTGTTATTGGTGCGTACAACATTGTACATTCTAGCGAATAATCAAGCTCTAAACCCTTTTGACGTTCTTGCCCCACCGTTGGAGCTTTGGGCAGGTGTTGGCTTCTACTGGAGTTCAACGCAGCGCCGTGAATCTCGCGAGCTATTTTATGATCTGTATCACAGAGACTTGGACCGTCTCTATTTCCATTTCCCACCACAGTTGTGGAGGATAAAGCCGACATGTTAAATGGGAAGGACAACTTGGTGGAGGTCTTACTGTCTAAACGCATTTGGGGTAATATTGTCTATCCGTCCTCTTGTGGACCGGTTGACCATTACCCCAGCCGCTTTACACTCCGAGGCAGGGTCGCCGGTCCCCAGTCAGACTGGCGTGCACACAGATCGCTGGAGATGATGGGGGATGGAGTCGTCGATGAGTATGCCACGACGCGTGGGTCTGCGACACCTACTTATCGATTGGCATCGGCTGATGGGGGGGACGGATGGTGGCTTCTTTACATCGGTCAATTGATAGACTGTGTGGAAACTCGTTTGTGCGTTTCTTCAGTCAGGTCTCAGCACTTTCATATAGAAGATTGTAGCATGCTCAGCATGGCAGACACGCGCCTTGAGCGCTTTCTGTGCGACCTTTACAACTTTCCGTGACAAAACAAACCACTTGGACTTCGTGCTTTCCGTAACTTGTGAGCTGGACAATTACAGGTGCGAGAAAGGCGGAGGAACCTTCGTCAGGGGCCTGGAGCACCCTCAGGCGAGTTGATGAGAGGAAATGTGCGCCGTGCGCCTCTCTTCGTTCTCTCTCTAGCAAGAGACTTCCTTTTTGGGATTTCTTTGAGAGAGATGGCCGGACGCGACGCCAAGCGCAAGAAATCTAAGGATCGATATTATTTGAAATACAGATGTCGTCGATAAAATTGCGGTCGCTCAGAGGTTTAGAACGTTTTTTACCGATTTCCAACGTCGCACGGTAACTAACTCCTATTCCTTATCCTTCTTTACCTTCTTTTGCTGTCTCACATGAATTCATTTAGACAGAGAGATATTTCATATTGATTTCCAATTATTCAGTGGTGTAAACCCCAACTCTTTAGAAAGTTCAGGAAGAGGGGCTCTAAGCGAATGAAAACTTTACCACCGAGTAGGGTAAAGTACACCCGAAAGGGATTTTATAAGGGTTGTCTCCGGCGATCGCTTCTCGTTGGTCTCCTTGGCACGTTTTTAATAGCGCTTTGCCTACTTTACGCTGGCGATACGAACTGGGTCCCTTTTACACCCTTGGTACTTCCCCATGGTGGTACACAGGATATGTTTGTTCGCTCCACAGGGCCTCGTGTGGCGATTCTCGTTATGAGTAATAGAATTGACGAGACCCTTTGCTATTCCGTAGGCTCAGCTTACCTAAGCGGTCTGCCCGTGGTGGTGGCCGGCTATCGGATGAAGTATCGTGGGTTTCTGTCCAAATTTGAATTCATGGAAAGGGCCATCGAGAATGCGGAGTTGCAGCCAGAGGATGTGGTCTTTTTAATAGATTCAGACACAATCTTCACGGGTGCAGACCTTAGTCCGTTCCTGGATCGTTTCATCGCAGAGTCGGCTGCAACACCCGATGACCTGGACGCGCTGGCGGTGCGGCAGGGGCCGTGCGATGGCACCCTTCCTAGCTACTGGGGAGTCTTGCTGTTGGGCACCGAGCGTATTCAAGCTTATTGAAGATTGCAAAGCTGAGTATGAAGCAGTTTATGCGAAGGTGCGAAAGCATGCCGTATTACACCCGGAGCAAAAGCTCGACTTACCTTTTGACTTGGTACCGCAACGCCACCCAAACGCGGGTATTGTGGTTGCCCGTGTGTGGGCGTACAAGGAATACTTGCAGAAGGCTAACAGTTTAACAATCACACAAAAGCCAAGGTTTTATACCAAAAGAGGATGGTTCTGTGATCAATCTATCTTCACATTGTTGTGTCTGGACCTCATAACGTGGGAAGTCGAACAGGGCGTCTTTTCGATGCCTGCGCATGAACGGCAATCGGCGCGGTCTTCGTACGGCATGCGCGCAGGATTCCTGGGGATAGACTACGTGAATGCGTTTTCTGTTGTTGGTGCGCTGAAATACCTAAACCTAACCGAGCTGCACGATGAGAACTGGACGAAGTACCTGCCTCTGGGTGGGCTAGAGCATCCTCACTCGCAGGAGATAACCAGTTTCAGGAGTGTGGGTCATTTTGTTGTCGACCTTTACCAGCGAGCGTACGCCGCCCACGGTAATGGAATTTACACGAGGCTGGCGGTGCCCAGGTGGGTTGGTGGGAAAAGGGCTGCCGGAACGACCCACATCACCCTCACGCCACCACTTTTTGCGATGAAGTTGAGGCCCATAGACACAGTCGGCCACACGACGCGTCATGTCTTCCCGGTGCTTTTTCATGCGACGGATCTTGAGGGAGGATATCCAAAGATTATGAAACTTGAGTATGCTTCCATAGGTGCACCGTGGCTCGTGCCGATGCTATATGATGTAAGGATAAAACAGCAGACCATGGAGTATTTAGCATCCACGCCCCTGATTCTATCAACTCAGAACTCTATCATTCGAGACTCCTACCACGCGAAATGCGGCTTCCCATTTGGAAGAATTATAAGGAGGACAAAAGGACTTTGAGTCGGTTTGCCTTTCCTACCATAGACATACTAGGGCATCCCCCTCCGATGCACAATCCAGTTCCGTGAAACACCTCCTTGAGGGCAACACACGCCTGGCAGTCTGTACCGTAGGCAATAACTTTTTATCTAGACCTTGCGAGTAAAATGTTCATGATAGGGGAGGACTCTAGACTATCCTTCTGCCATTTATGTATGAGTACGGAATCCGACATTAACGTTGACATGACAGCTCTTTTTTTTCCTCCCCGTCCCATGATCCTCTTCGACATGTAGGTTTCTCTGCAGGACTACATCCATGTATCTTATTCAAACAAATAATTACTTATACGTAAAATCCAGGGCAACATCGCGGCCCTCAAGATAGTGAATTTGCGTGTCGAATGTGTATAGTTGATCATTCCACCAAAATTCAGGTGAGCGATGGGTTCTGAATCAAACAATAATCACGCTAAGCTGGTTATTATTGATGCAATTTCGTTTTTTGCGCATTTCTTTAAGTTCACTACGGTCCACGCTAGGGGGATTGTCGCATAAATGAGTACATACCCCGAGCCCACTTTCTTGTCTTACTGATCCGTCATAGGGCATGAGATGCTAGTGTGATGTTAAGCATCGATAGGGGTTGATTACTGATGCTCCTACAGCGTCACTCTATGCCCCCTCCCCTCCCTGGAAATGTCTTTATGATTTATGATTCGTTATTTGTTCGTCTTCGATGAGCGCCACGTTTCCGCTAAGATTTAATACATATGGACAAACGTGTTGATTAAAGTACATATATGGATTGAAACTTAATGCATTGCGGATCTCGCATTCTGGGACATTTGGGATAATAACCCAAATGCAAGGTTAGAGGCATCCAGAAGCACTTCAGAGGCACAACATTTCTTGGGATTAATCTGATTTTTGATGTGGATATTCTCAGCGTATTTCTAACGTTCCAACATGCTTCGGCTAATCCTGTCTAGCGGAGACCAACACGGATCAGCCACTACATTTTTGCATTTCTGAATAGGATGTGTGTGCGCTTCGTCTGCCTTTGAATCTCCGCAACGTGGCGAAGCCGGGGTGCAGTGATGTGGCAGGAGGGAGGGGGGAAGTGTGCAGTATTGCGTCCTCCAAATAGGCGGCTCCTTGGTTGGCTGGGGTCGCCGTCTCTCCCGGGCCCCTCGTGTGGTGCGTATGGGGAGCGTTTCCTATGCTCTGCATCTGGTGGATGGGTTGGGGCCCACCTGATGGGACTCCACTGATGTGTTCTCGTGTTAGAAACGAGTTAGGGTTAGAGCTTCCAGGGTATGCCCTGAAATGGACTTCATTCGTATGGGCCCGGGACCTTCAAGGGATGATAATGATCTAGGCTCGCTCCACGGCCTATGCGTGCAAGAACCGTAGATATCTGGAGACCATGATGAAGAAAGCTGTGCTTCTACAGCCAGTTTTGAAGTAGCATCTATTGTTCATGCATCACCAGATGTAGCTTTGAGACCAGATGCTAGTGGACCCACCTTGCAATCTACGGCAACTTTCTCCCCATATTTGACACGCTCAGAGGACATTGCGTAATCCTATTGCCTTTCCTTCATACGACTACCATGCAAACACTCACGTCTTATGTTGCATCGAATCGGATGCAGTTCCATTTGCCATTCCCGATATGATCTTGGTAAGACTGATCGTATTCATCACGGTCAGACAGACCCTTTCTCCGAGTCATTACGAGGTGCAGTGTCAAGCTTATCCTTTCTGAAACGGATCTTATGTGCTCGGGTTGAGTTTTCACGCTCGCTGTTTGTCCGCGTCGTTGGGCTTGTCGAGGGCTTAGCAGCCAGCACCGTCAAGGGTGTGTTTTGCTCCTCCGCTGTGCCGATTCAGGTGCTACTCATGCGGAGGAATTTTAGCATGCTGCCATGCGGGCAATTGTGACGCCAGGTGAGAGGAATCTAATGACCAATAGTTTTTTTTTTGTATCTAGCTTCAAATTCACATCGTGATTACTTCCTACTTTGTTTCTTCCCTCTTTTCACAAACTTGAATTCGTTTAGACATAAAAATAATACACATTGCTTTTGTTTTATAAAGTGGGTAAGGGTTCCACCATTGGGAGGGGTTCGCACATACAGAAGCTAAAACAATAGTATCAATGAGAGACAATCTACGAAAGCGATTACAAAGGGGTATTTTTAAGAATCGCCTCCGGCGGTCGCTTCTCGTTAGGGAACGGGAACGGGAACGGGAACGGGAACGGGTTAGGGTTAGGGTTAGGGTTAGGGTTAGGGTTAGGGTTAGGGTTAGGGTTAGGGTTAGGGTTAGGGTTAGGGTTAGGGTTAGGGAACGGGAACGGGTTAGGGTAAC